ATATATATAAGCCATGTAATAAATATTATGATGCTTTTTGATTGAATTTGCAAAAAATTGCCTCTAAAATATGTATTTTATATCAGATTGTTTTACTGCATTAGAGCTACAGAAAACAAAACTATATATATATACTATGTTTTGATGCCAAAGATCCATAAATCCATATTTTCTATTGAAAAAGCAGCTACATGAATAGCATGTGCTCTTTTTTTCTTAAGGGGTGTTAAACATAACTAAGTAGTTATTCTCAGTAATAATCATTTTAAATATTACAATAATTTCGATTGTTTTCTTGAAAAACAATGTACATTGTAAATGGACTGCAGCTAAAGTGAACCAAAACAAGTGTGAATGTAAGACCTAGGACCCTTTTTGATTCATTTCACTTTTTGGACCACTTAAAGGGGTCTGCGTTTGTTTTAGTAAAGAGGAAGTGTGAAAACATCCTTAAAGTTGGGATCAGGTTGGAGCGATTCGACATCAGCATCTTAAAGTGACTGGCTGTCTCTCTCGGTCTGTTGCGTGGTAGTTTTTAGAGGAAGAAGGCGTGACTACAGGCACACAACAATACTGAACTGCACCCATGTCAGACTCACAGATCAAACTCATTTCGAATGCATCGGACATAATAATAAAGGAAACAACAAGTGCACGCTATAACAAGTTTGTTGGAGATAAGTTATCTGATGTTAGGCAGCAGAGGAATATGCATTTTCTCTTTCAATGCTGAAGAGCAACGCCTGTTCTCGACAACAACAAACTCAAGCCCGTGGACGTGAACTAGGAAACGGACGATGCCTGTGTGTTAACCATGACCGTCGGCTAGTTTTCCCGGACGGTTTCTTTTGGATTAGTCTGTAAATTCACCAAACGTGACATACTGCATCGATTTAGTCGCCAAAAAGCAGCGCGTGGACGAGTCGGAAACTCGCGCGCCATTGAAAACAAGTAAGCTCGGTTGGTGCTATCATACTTTGCTTATTGGGATACAAAGTTGTCATATTCCACCTAAAATAAAAATGAAACCACTCTTGGTAGTCAGCCGCTTACATTCATGACGTGCAGACTTTCTAAACGTGGCGCTGAAGCTAAACGATGTTTCTTTTGTCAGCGGTGCATCCCTGCATTTCCTGTTCAGCGCTTCATCTGCTCGGGCTGTGTGCTAGCGATAGCAGCTAAGGGCTTGGAAAGTGCATGCGATTTGTTTAACCATTTGTATGTTATGTACAAACTCCATGTAGCATTGAGAACGTGTTTAAAGAGCACGAGGGCAACTGCGGATGTTTGCACGAGCCCCGCGCGTGTCTGTAAAACTTCGGCCTCGCGACTCTTTGTGCTATTGTTGATGTCCACGGTGTGGTGGGCCACGATGACACTTTTAAGTGTTTTATTCATGGGAAATGTGCACAGTCCTTATTTGAAGCATGCATAATGTTCAAAGCATACCCACAAGCCCTTTCAAGTGATTATTTTTGATAAAGTGAGACATGCGAGGTTTGGTGGCGCTCCTTTGTTATTGCTTTGTCTGTGTGAAAGCACATGGCCCTCCACGCTTTTGTTGTTGAAGTTACAGCTCCCCCTCTTTGTGGCAAATCAACCCAGTCTTTCCATTAAACACGGTTTACGCTTCCAGTTTGTAAGTATTTTTTGGTATCTGTTTAATAATTTTACACATTTTACGTTTGAATGTCATGTGTAGCACGATGAGAAGTTTATATGTGCTTGTGTGAATTATCGCACACTCCACTGATTTTGATAAAAGTAAAAAAATGTATTTGAAATCTAT